CTAACAGGGTATAAGCATTCCCTTTTCTCCACACCCTTGTCAAAACTGTTGAACTTCTGCATTTGAGTGTATGTCTTGAAATCAACTATTCAGTATCAGGTTAATGTTTCTTTTTGCACTTTTTATTATGGCAAAATTAACCCCATTATGTCATTTAGCATTTGTGAGATGATAACACAATGCAAACATAGTTTTTTTTTTTGGGGGGACGGAGTCTTGCTCTGTCGGCCAGGCTGGAGTGCAGTGGCCAGATCTCAGCTCACTGCAAGCTCCGCCTCCCGGGTTCACGCTATTCTCCTGCCTCAGCCTCCGGAGTAGCTGGGACTACAGGCACCCGCCACCTCTCTCGGCTAGTTTTTTGTATTTTTTTAGTAGAGACGGAGTTTCACCGTGTTAGCCAGGATGGTCTCGATCTCCTGACCTCGTGATCCGCCCGTCTTGGCCTCCCAAAGTGCTGGGATTACAGGCTTGAGCCACCGCGCCCGGCCAATACAAACATAGTTTAAAAAATTTGTTGTTATTTTGTTTTTGCATATACTGTAGATTATTTATGACATATTTTATCAAGAATTGAGATTCTAGAAATTCCTGTCTGTGTAATTTCCTGTGGGAACTACCTATAGCTTTCTGCCCAAAGAGACGTGAGGACGGGCTATGCATGCCAGTTTAATCTTCCCAAATTTGCCAGCCAGATAAATTCCTTTACCTGCTCTGGGGCAGGTGAATGAATGTGTGGCGTGAGGTCAGGAGTCAGCTCCAGCTGTACAGAAGGAAACATCAGCAATGAGGAGTAAGTGCCTCCTCCCCTCCCAGTATTAACATTTCTAATATTCATGGGTAGATTCAATTTGAAAACTAAGTATAAACATTTTGTTTAATGTAGTGCTTGATTATCTGTCTTATCTATTTTCAAGTAAAACTAAAAACTGAGTATTTAGCTTTAGAATTATTTAGCTTCTCTCAAATGCTCAGTTTTTATCAACATTTGTCAATTTTAACTGATAGCACCCTTAGCAAAGTTTGTAGGAATGAAATAGAAACATTTCCCAGTTTTGCTTTAAGAGTCTGAAATATTTTGGTTTTTGAAGGTTATATTGCAGTTAAAAAGAAAACCATTTGACTTGATATATACATATGTTTCCTGAGGTCAGAGCCTACCATTAAACTTTCTAAAGATTCTTAGGTTAATTTTTTAAACTGTGGACTTTTAGTGCAAAAATATTTATCAGAATCACACTATGGGGTATGAGAAATGTTAGACTTTATCAATATCGTTGTCTATTGGACCCTCTACATTTACGATCAAATTCTTCAAGTCTCATCATATGCACAGAAACTGAAGAACAGTTAATTTCTAGGTAACTAAATTTGGAAACACATGTAAAGAGAGCAGAAGGGCAATGGAAATTTATGCAAGACAGAAATACCTGTTTTCTGAATTTATTGATATTTAAAATAGGATCCGTACAAAAACTAAATGAAACTAAAAATTCAGTTCTTGGTATTCTGCTAGACCTTGCATTTCTTTGTATTACTATTTGCACCATTAAAAATATATATAAATACATATTTTAAAAAGTTCTGGGCCAGGTGCAGTGGCTCACACCTGTAAGCCCAGCACTTGGGGAGGCCGAGGTGGGCAGATCACCTGAGGTTGGGAGTTTAAGACCATTCTGACCAATATGGAGAAACCCCCTCTCTACTAAAAATACAAAAGTAGCCGGGTATGGTGGCACATGCCTGTAATCCCAGCTACTTGGAAGGCTGAGGCAGGAGAATCGCTCGAACCCAGGAGACAGAGGTTGCAGTGAGCCAAGATCGCGGGCTACTGCACTCCAGTCTGGGCAACGAGAGCGAAATTCCGTTCAAAAAAAAAAAAAGAAAGAAAAGAAAAGAAAAAAAAGAAAAAAAATTATCATGATGCATTAGCTTACATAAATATACATTGAAATTTAGGCCGGGCATGGTGGCTCACGCCTGTAATCCTAGCACGTTGGGAGGCCAAGGCAGGCGGATCTCCTGAGCTCAGGAAATCGAGACAAGCCTCGGCAACGTGGCAGAATCCCGTATCTACAAAAAATGGAAAAAATTAGCCGGGCGTGGTGGCGGGTGCCTGTGATCCCAGGTACTTGGTAGGTTGAGGTGGGAGGATAGCTTGAGTCCAGGAGGGCGAGGCTGCAGTGAGTTGAGATCTCAGCACTGCACTCCAGCCTGAGTGACAATTGAAATTTAAATAGTATTAGGGACAAAAGGATGAATGAACACTGTTTAAAGGAATTCTGCATATTAGAATTCTGGAATACTTCCGCAGGCATTCTAAAGTCCTAAAACCTGTTTTATGGGTTCTAAAAGTCAGGTTTTGGTACAGTGGATTTCCAATTTTTTTTTTTTCTTTTACTGAGGACATTGAAACTCATAGCACAGGATCTTGTGAGTCCACCCTGAAAATTAAAGAAAGTGGCTCGTTAGACTCTTCAGTCCTAAAGTATAATGTGAAATGAGAATGCATATTTATATCAGACAAATTTAGGCTTTGAATCTTGGCTTTGTCAAGCAGTATGTATTCTTGCTTAAGCTAATGTACCTTCCTTTTTGAGTCTTAGTTTTTTCATGTATAAAGCTGCAGATAGCCACGCATCCTTTTTTGTTTGTTTGTTTGTTTGTTTTTGTTTTTTTTTTTTTTTTGAGATGGAGTTTAGCTCTTGCTGCCCAGACTGGAGTGCAATGGCGCGATCTTTCCTCACCGCGACTTCCGCCTCCTGGGTTCAAGCGATTCTCCTGCCTCAGCCTCCCGAGTAGCTGGGATTGCAGGCATGCGCCACCACGCCTGGCTAATTTTGTATTTGTAGTAGAGACGGGGTTTCTCCATGTTGGTTAGGCTGATCGCGAACTCCGACCTCAGGTTATCTGCCCGCCTCGGCCTCCCAAAGTGATGGAAATACAGGCGTGAGCCACCTCGCCTGGCCGGCAACGCATACTTTTAAAGGGATATGAAAGGGCTTGAAAAATATCCAGGAAAGAATTGGCCGTTGTTATTTGTTAAGCACAGTATTATTTCCAAAGGAACTCTTCCAAATTATCCCTGACCAAGCTACCACCCTTATTAAGAGATAGATTGGCCTCTTAGATTATATATCCCTTAGCTTTGCTCATGAATGGAGACAAAGGATTCATTTATCTAAAGGAATGAAAACAATTGCCCTTGAAGAAGTGGATTCGTGCACCTAAAATAATGGCCTGCATATGGTACCAATCAAACCTTTTATTTCTTGCATATTTTGCAGACAATATGATTTTCAAATACAGGTTGTATGGAATCAAGTGAACCATCTTTAGGAGAAGACTGATTTTTAGTAATCTTTATGTAAGACTATTTGGCAGAGCCCAGATTTGAACTGAAGAGATTGTCTTTAGAGCCATACACTTGTTCAGGACATAGTGAGTATTCAGAGATAAAACCAGTGTAGAAATTAGTATCAGGGCTATATCATTAACAAGATTCTATCACTTGATTTGCCTTTTTTTTTTTTTTTTGGTGTGTGTCGTCTCTTCATTAAAGAAATAGCAATGCTGTGAATGCCATACATATTGGTTGAACAAACTTTTTTTTTTTTTAATATTAGAAACTGGATAACAAGAGAGAATAAAAAAAATGTTCTGCATTGTTAAATTTCCATGGAGGTAAAGGAAGATTTTACAAGCTGAAAAATACGGGTGAGAAAGAAAAAAAAAAAGGACATTTCTTATTTGCTGTAGTGAATTTGAATAATAACGTATTTCGCAGAAGAATTTACCCATCACATGTCATGTTTCAGGTTATTGTAATGCAATTGAAGAAAGTAAGTCTATCAATGAACTGTAACTGATAGGATATACCATAGTTACCAATCCAAAATAGCAAAAGCATGTTACAAAGGTTTAGATGTATATAACAGAAAAGAAACGCTTAACTTTTTTTTGTGCAAGAAAAAAGTGTTTTTTGGAAAATGCTCCATATAATCGAGAACAAATAATTCTTATTAAAGCTATCGCTGAATTGCCTATTAGATAAATTGCCTAATTATGTGATATACCGTGGTAACTTTTGGTTTTATATTCTAAATTAAAAAAAGTTCATTCCAATGAATAATAACCACAAAATGTTTAATAAGATACACTGGAAAGTACATAAATGCTAAGCAGTAAAATAAATCAAAATTGGGAAAAAATAAATTTGCCCTTCATTGAGAACACTCATTTAAATTGTTACATTGCATAGCCATGGCACGAGCACCCCACAACGAGTATGGTGAAAACTGTCCAAAGCTGGGCAGCCAAGGCTAAATCTCGCAGCATGGCTGTACCCTGAGTAATAATAACTACAGGTCTTCTCTCTGATACTTTAGTTTTAATTTAAAAGTATTTTATCAGTGAACCAAGAGTGAATGATAAGATAATAGAAAAGTAAAACAAAGTTCAGGCAGAGGTTAAAGAAGTCCAACGTTTATTAAATTTTGCTGATTGAAGTATGATATTGAAATAATATTTACCATATTTTCCATGAACCTTGCCAGAAAATATATTTGGGAATAATTAATATGTTGTTATACATATTACTACAAAGGAACGTAAGGACCTCCATTTTCAATCCTAATGACCTTGACAAGTAACTTCATTTCCCGTGGATCTCATTCTCTTTTTCTTTTTCTTTTCTTTCTTTCTTTTTTTTTTTTTTGAGATGGAGTCTCCCCAGGCAGGGGTGCAATGGCGCAATCTTGGCTCACTGCAGGCAGGGGTGCAATGGCGCGATCTTGGCTCACTGCAACCTCTGCCTCCCGGGTTCAGATGTTTCTCCTGCCTCAGCCGCCTGAGTAGCTGGGATTACAGGCACCAGCCACCACATTCGGTTAATTTTTGTATTTTTTATCTTAGTGGAGATGGAGTTTCGCCATGTAGGCCAGGCTGGTCTCGAACTCCTGGCCTCAGGTGATCCAACTGCCTCAGTGTCCCAAAATGCTAGGATTACAGGTGTGAGCCACGGACCCGGCTGGATCTAATTATTCTCACCAGAGGATGGAATTAGATCACTATTTTTCTAACAGTGCTCTGTAGAGTCCTACAGATCAGAAATGCTTTTTATTCTCCCACACAATTCTGATTTTGTATTTTATCCAGTAGTTGCACGCTTGGAATGTATTTAGATACTTTCATAAAGGAAAGGTTTGAAAAGCCCCTGGTCTAGATTATGTCTGAAATTCCTTTAGTTTTAACATCTTATGAGCCATTTATTTTTTTCCTAATTCCTATCCTTGAGTCAGACACAGGAATTGCCATACAAATTTTGTGCTTTTCCACTTCTGGAACTGCCTTGTACTCCAGACTTTTCATGGAATATCCATCTGCTCTTCTTACTAGTCGAAATTCCATTTGTTTTTCAAGGTCCAACTCTGGCTGTCCCTGAGATGAATTGAATTATCAGCCAGGAAAAAAACTTTCTTTCCCTGGAATTTTGAAAACAGTAGGTTAGTATTATTTTTGAGACACTTACCTGTTCTTCGTTCTGTTATGGATGCTATATACTTGATGAGTTTCTGTCATTCTTACAGGAACTGGGCAAATCTGATAACCAAGAGTAGGGCAATGAATGTAAGATAATGGTGGGAGCTCAGGGCACTTTCTAGGATGTACACATTTCATCAAGTGGGGGTGTCACAGCCTTAATGAGATTTCTGTACTGTCCACAGGGAAATTTAAGATCAACACGACCAAATTCTATTTCAATAAAAATTGTGCATCTAAATTTTTAGAGAAATTTTTGACATCTGAAAACTCATTTATAAAAATAAAAATGTAAAATGCTCAAACAAAAAAAAATTGTGTAATGGCCACTTGTACGCACCTCTGGTCAGCATACCCTGTGCCTGTCTTCATCCTCGAATGTAAACATAATCTACTTGCACCTTTGTTCAGGAAAATTTTGTGAATTTTGTTGGAAATGTTCAGATAGCCTTTTTATATAAGCTTGAATAAAATCATGACATCGAATTTTTAAAAAATCTAGTGCAAACAACTGTCAAGAGCAATATGACAATGTCCTCAAGAAAATCAAGTGGTTAAGTGGATCATCCTCAAATTTAAAATCCTTTGGTCTCACCCTCAGAATGTCCCCTACTTGAGGCTTCGCATTGTAAAAGCCTTCCTGAGTAAAAATGAGATTAAGGAACATTTCACAGTGCCTTAAGCAGCAGATAGATTAATTAGTTGCCTAGAAAAAATTAAAAGTCTCATCTGGAAATTTGGAAGGATTTTAATGAGACCTCTTTGTATTGATCTTGAAAGATATAGTTTGTATTAAAAACCTCCCCTCCCCTCTCCCCTCCCTTCCTCCCTCCCCTCCCGACTCCTCCCCTCCATCTTCTCCCTTCCACTCCTTTTTCAGAAGGAGTCTCTGTCACCCAGGCTGGAAGTGCAGTGGCACAATCTTTGCTCACTGCAACCTCCACCTCCCAGGTTCAAGCGATTCTCCTGCCTTAGCCTCCCGAGTAGCTGGGACTACAGGCTCGCGCCACGATGCTCAGCTAATTTTTGTATTTTTTTATAGAGATGGGGTTTTACCATTTTGCCCAGGCTGGTCTTGAATTCCTGACCTCAGGTGACCTGCCTGCCTTGGCCTCCCAAAGTGCTGGGATTACAGGTGTGAGCCACCGCCCCCCCCCACCCCCGTGCTGGTTTTTGTTTTGTTTTGTTTTGGATACTTTCCTGATCACCTTTTGATGTTTGTCACTAGAACACTGACAAGTTTATATTCTTTTAAATACTGCTTGCTGGTCATCATGCTTGCTTTTTCCTTATTAAGAATATATTTGAATTTTAATCTGTAAAAACAAAATTTGATGCAGTCATATCTTGATTCTATATCTAACAGCAGTAGTGTTTATAACATATTTACACCATTGTTTTATTATTGTTGGCTGAAGTAATTCCTAGTTAACTTTTCACTTTCTGGTTAAAATTGGAATCTAGTTTCTTGTTCTGTTTATCACTAAATAACAGAGTATTCAGTAGTGACTGAATATTAGGAGGGACAATTGAACACTTTTAAACTCAATGTCATGTGAAGTGAACATGCTCAGGGATCATGAAATAAATTTTGAAATGATTTGTTTATAATAAAACAAGAGCTCTTTAATGAGGAAATGGACAATAGCATGTTACATTTTGCTAAAATAAATATAAAATGGATTATATTTCTACAAATAATGAATGTTGCTATATTAAAATACTTATTCATTTATTTCAAATAAGTCACTTTTTAAAAAAAATTTTATCTTAATAAGGTAGTCAAGGGATGGTTACCTTCTCTTTTCAATGCAAATGTAATTCCTTAAGTGGTTTTCATGGCCCAGGGCATGACTGCATTTCTCTGCATCTTTTCTCTTTAACGCGGCTGTTAACATTAAGCAAGCAGAGGTGTTCTCTTGTTAAAAAGGAACAATCCACCCATTCCACCCAGAGAAGTTCCCTCTGGTGCTCGGCCCCTCCCTGCACTCACGTCTGCAGTGAGGCCATTTCTTTTCTCAGCTTTTGTTACACTGCCCCCTGCATCTCGCCAAGTGGACTCGCAGTCTAAATTGTTCAGATTTCTCATCTTTTTTTCTCCGTAAAACGTAAACATACCATTGGTGCAACTCTTCCTTGAAGTTTAATGTTGTGTATTTAATGCTGGGCTTAGGTAAGTGAAACATCCACTCTCTAAAACTGAGAGAAATCATTCATTTAAATAGAATGTATACAAATACTGTAAAAACTGTGTATCAAATAGCTCTTAAAATTTATTATAATAACACTTATTAAGGATTAGACAAGGTGATATCTTAGCAAGTGTTATTAGTTATAGTTTCTTAGGTATATTATCTCTGTGTTGATATGTCTCGATCAATAATAATCAGCACTGATATAACTGACCTTTTAGTACAGTTTGCTATACACATGGACACTTTCACATAAAATACTTTATGAATTATCACAACTTTATTATTAGTAGTATTACTGATTCAAAAGTAAAGTTAAAGAATATTCAAGTTAGAGAAGCCAAGTAGATGGCTGCTCTTCAGAACGTAAATTTTTATTGTTTTAATGAAAGAAAATTTGGCAAAATTGGCAATGTATTTTCCTTTTGTCCCAGTGTGTCATGAAGAAGAATTTTAAGTAAATTAGAATGTTTAGCTCAGCATTTCTTTAAATAGAAATTATTAGAAACTAATCACGTGACTAAATAGGAGCATGGCTAAATATAGTATGGTCCAACTTCATGATGAGCAATAAACAGTCATTACAAATCATGTTTTCAGTAAAATGGAAAAGTGCTCTCAGGTTAATAATAATTGAAAAGAGTGGGCCAGGCGCAGTGTCTCACACCTGTAATCCCAACACTTTGGGAGGCTGAGGCTGGAGGATCACAAGGTCAGGATATCGAGGTCATCCTGGCTAACATGGTGAAACTCCGTCTCTACTAAAAATACAAAAAAAAAAAAAAAAAAAATTAGCTGGGCGTGGTGGCAGGCGCCTGTAGTCGCAGCTACTTGGGAGGCTGAGGCAGGAGAATGGCATGAACCTGGGAGGCGGAGCTTGCAGTGAGCCGGGATTGTGCCACTCACTGCATTCCAGCCTGGGTGACAGAGCGAGGCCCCGTCTAAAAAAAAAAAAAAAAAGATAATATTTAGAAAGGTATAGTGCTTCTGATTGCAATTTTGGAAACATATCTTTGAGTTCTGAGCCAAAGTACTCCAGTGCACAAGGCTTCTGCCCATCTCAAGGGCCTCCCTGGTAAATTCTCTTGGCCCTCCTCTTTGCCTGGCTACTTCTTCAGTTTCCAGGAAAGCCCTTGCTGATCTGCAGGGCACTTCAGACCACATTATGTTCCCCAGTTACATGTTCTCATAAAACTCTAATTTTCCTTCATAGTATATATTATGATTATAATTAATCACCTTGTGGGATCTTTCAAACGTCTGTCTTCCCCAATAGACTATCAGCTTCACTGAAGCAGTAACTGTGTTCTTGTTTACTCAATGCCTGTTCCAGTGACTGGGACATAGAATGAGCTCTGTAAACATTTGTTGAGGAAATGAACAAATGAGTGAATTGCAAGGCACTCTCTGAGCACTTTTGACATAATTTCATTGAGACTCCACCAAAAACTTATGAAGTAGAAACCATATTTATTACATTTTATGGATAAGGAAACTAAATTGTAAAGAAAGAAAATTGGCCAGAGTTATATAGTAAGTGGACAGCTCCAGTGTAAACCTGACATCTCTGAATGTTGTGCACAAGTTCTTAGCCGTCAATTGTAAGTGCTTGTACTAAATGTAACTAAGATAGCTATATTTAAATGGTCAACTTTGTAGGTCAAATATGCAGAAATATTACAAATCTTTATATTAATTTGTTAATAAATTTATAACCATGTTAAATTCTGAAGAAAATATATAAAAATGGAAATGGTGGTAGAATTGCACTGGTTCTTATTTTTTGCACACAATTCTACATTTCCCAAATTCCCTGTACCAAATACTTATCATTTTCTATAAAAAGGAAGAAAACCATTAAAATCTATTCACCTTAGCATGTTGGAGCTAGGTTTCAAGTGTAAATATTTTGACATCAAACTCCAAAGAGTTTTCACTCAGCAAAAGAGAAAAGTTGATCACTCTCTTGCGAATTGGCCCGCAATTTACAATTAATTTTTCTGAACAATTTAACTCAAAATCAATGTCAAAAATATATTTTAAAAATTTTCAATGTAAAATTCTATGTAAAAAACTGCACAATAGATAGCTACATTAAACCTATACCATAGAAACTGTTAATTAAAACTTTGAGCTGATTGAATATATTTCTTTCTATGCATAACTTTTATGCTTTTTGACATTTTCCTATCACCAATACTGACTAGCAATCAAATTTATATCATTCAGTTTTAAAGATACCTATTTTATTTATTTTAAACTTCAATATTTAAGATAAACTTGCCTTTCAAAAATTAATTTTGTTTTTGAAGCTCACCAAAGCAACACATAATTTAAAATCTATCTCTATAGATTTTCTCTTATACTTTTTATTTTGGTTTACCTTCCAGTGATTACTGCCTTGACTGCCCCTGCTCTTGAAGTAAGTACATATGAACAAGGACCCTGAAAAACTCTGGGCTCAAATTGCTCTAGTTTTTTAGATATTTTTGATGGGACAGGGTCATGTATTTTAAGATACGGCATTTGATAGTCTTTGGAGTCAAGTCATGCTGCCGACACAGATTCTAATGGCTGTTGCAGACACTAGCTTCCCCACTAGTTCTGCTCTAGCTACCAACTGTAGCCTTCATCCAAAGCATCAGATGTCAGCCCTGAATGATTATATAGGGCCCGTTTTTATTCAGGCCTTAATGTCAAACTTATGGATGAATGAATGACGGAATGAATTACAATCCTTGCCTTAACTGGATTCTTAATTTCTAGCTCTTTTTTCTTGATCATCACATTTGACTTCTTGACCTTAACCTTACAAATGAAACTGGCTGTCCTTCCTAAGGACATTGTCCCTGTGATCGGCCTTGGCCAAATAATTTTCTCTTAAGTCTTCTGCGTGTCTTAAAGTATAAGTCTTCATTGTTCCTCTTATAGAGACCTCAACATGCTTTCTGCTTGAACCTTAACAGTACCTTTTGTTATATTTTAATAACCAGATTTGAGTAACCTGATTTGGTCATCTTTGTTTTCCCTTCACTGATCATACACATGTTGAATCTGTATAATGTACAAAGTAGTAAGCTAAGCCTTTAGGAAGAAAATAGGATACCTATAAACAATAGTCCTTGCCTAACAGTATTTCACACTTTAGTTAAATTAGTAATAATTACTGTAGTAAATCAATTTCATATAGAAATCAATTTCAGTTCATCTGTACCTTTGTAGATGGAAGCTGACCAAATTCAAGCAAAAAACAAACAAACAAAAATTTTCTACACTTAAAAGTTTAAAGTTGATTTTGGAATTTCACTTTCCAAAAGTGAATTTTAAAACTGAGTAGCTGGGCATGGTGGTTCATGCCTGTAATCCCAGCACTTTGAGAGGTTGAGCCGGGAGGATCTCTTGAGCCCAGGAGTTTGAGACCACCTGGGCAACATAGTGAGACCCCATCTCTACAAAAAATAAAAAATTAACTGTGTGTGGTGGCATGTGCCTATGGTCTCAGCAATGTGGGAAGCTGAGGCAGGAGGATCACTTGAGCCCGGGAGATTGAGGTGGCAGTGAGCCATGATCACCCCACTTGCACTCCTGCATGTGTGACAGAGCGAGACCCTGTCTAAAAAATAAAAACATAAAAAATAAATAAGAAAAAACTGGGTAAAGTTAAAATTCCACTTATTCCAACAATTTAAAAATTGGCAAAGATTAAAAACCCAGTTGTTTACTCATTTCTGAATAATATAAATGCTTTAAAACTCATTTTGACAACCTTTATATTCCACTATAACAATATTTATCTTGGGACAGGCTCCTTTTGCCAACTTGCAGACAGGTTTTTCTTTTACATGTATCTGTATGTGTCGATCAGCGATTCTTTTTTTTTTTTTTTTAATTTAACATGCCATTGGCTCTAGAAGCTGCCATGTTTAAGACTTTCAGGATAGATACATATTTGATCTTTTATATTTATTATTTGGTTTGTACACATAATATCACTGATCTGCTCAACAAATCTTTAATGGCTTTCAATCATTGATGTAAACAAATCTGAAATTTTCTGTCTAGCTCTCTCTAAACCCTCCATAAAATAGTCCCACTCTTACTATCCAATCACACTTCTCACATATCCTTTCAAACACTAATTATTTGCCTTTCTTCAACCCAAAAGTCCTCTTTTCTTTTGCCCACCAAACAAAATCTACCTATTTTTTAAAGCCCACCTTAGAACCAGTTTCATGATCACTCCAGTTCTCAATTATAAATTTTCCTCTGAATTTCAGGACTAACTAGAATTAGAATAATTTCTTTTCTCACTTGTTGATGCTAATTAAGATTATCAATATCTCCCTCCACAAAGATTGGCTCCTTGTATTAGTTCATTCTCATGCTGCTATAAGGACTTACCTGAAACTGGGTAATTTATAAAAGGAAGAGATTTGACTCACAGTTCCTCAGGGATGGGAGGCCTCAGGAAACTCACAATCATGGTGGAAAGGGAAGCAAACACAGCCTTCTTCACTTGGCAGCAGCAAGGAGAAGAGCCAAGGAAAAGAGGAAAAGCCCCTTATAAAACCATCAGATCTCTTGAGAACTCACTATTACAGGAACAGCATGAGAGTAACCGTCCCTATGATTCACTTACCTCCCACCAGATCCCTCCCACATGTGGGGATTATGAAAACTACAATTCAAAATGAGATTTGGGTGAGGATACAGGTAAACCATATCACTCCTTGAGGGTAAGAACACTGTTTTATATTTTTCTTTATGTCTTTAGACTCTAGAAACAAGGGTCACTTATTAGGGAGTTGAGAAATCGCTGTTGTTAAATGTAATTTGACAAAATTGGTTATTGAACTTTCTTTTCTTTTGCTTTTTTTTTTTCCTTTTTGAGATGGAGTCTCACTTTGTTGTCCAGGCTGGAGTACAGTGGCATGATCTTGGCTCACCGCAACCTTTGCCTCCCAGGATCAAGCAATTCTCCTGCCTCAGCCTTCTGAGTAGCTGGGACTACAGGTGTGTGCCACCATGCCTGGCTAATTTTTTTGTATTTTTAGTAGAGACGGGGATTCACCATGTTGACCAGGCTGGTCTTGAACTTCTGACCTCAAGCGATCTGCCCGCCTCAGCCTCCCAAAATGCTGAGATTACAGGCATGAGCCACTGTGCTCGGCCTCATTGGACATTTTGGACAATAAGCTTAGAACCATACAATCTTTCTTAGGACTTAAAAGCATTAGGGACTTTAGGGATTAACACAGGAAATTCTTCATTTTACAAATGAGAAAACTGCGATTTACACGGGGACAGTCTGGATCAGCCATTGTTAATAGCCTTTATCTCAGTATCTTTGATAGCCTTTCTCATCTATTTCCTCAAATTTAAAAAAATGGAATATAGGGAGTGTGATGTTTTCTGTCTATTAAAAAGTATGAAAAGGCCGGGCGCGGTGGCTCACGCCTATAATCCCAGCACTTTGGGAGGCCGAGGCGGGCGGATCACGAGGTCAGGAGATCAAGACCATCCTGGCTAACACGGTGAAACCCCGTCTCTACTAAAAATACAAAAAATTAGCCAGGCGCAGTGGCGGGCGCCTGTAGTCCCAGCTACTCGGGAGACTGACGCAGGAGAATGGCGGGAACCCGGGAGGCGGAGGTTGCAGTGAGCTGGGTTCGGGCCACTGCACTCCAGCCTGGGCGACACAGTGAGACTCCGTCTCAAAATTAAAAAAAAAAAAAAAAAAAGTATGAAAAGGCACTGTTTCCTCCTTGGTTTAGTCAGAAAAGCAGAAAACACTTCAGGAGTTTGAAGTAGAAGGGATTTAATTCCAGGAACAAAATGCTCACAAAACTAATGGAAGACCTGGAGAAACAGAATTCAGGAAAGACCACTGTTAGCTTTTATGCTCACCACTCACTTTGGTGAGTCAAGAAGCTCCCAGCACTGATCAAAGAAAAGGCCTCCAATATGGAGGTGGCTGAATTCCAGAAAAATAACCCAGAAGCCACAATAACATCTCATCTTTGGTGGAGCCACGTGTTTATTCACCTGCAGTTACTGGAGGAATGGTAAAGCTCCTGCCTTTCTTCCACCTTCCAAATTTTACCTGAGTACTTCTAAATGGCAGAATCTGTTTTGGAAAGGAAACTTATTTTTTAATGTATTAGCATCTTAGTTATTTATCTCAATAGTTTGGTGCCTTTCAATTTAGGGGCACATACTCCTAAACATGTCAATAGCTTACAAATTATCAATCTGCTCTAATACTAAACAGTAATTGATGTTTATAATAATAGAATTATTAGTGCTGGAAGACACTAGAGATAAACTGAACCTCATCTTCTCATTTAAAAGACTGAAGTCACATACCAATGGTGTTGAAGAGCCAACCTTTTTGACCTACCTCCATGGCCCAGATGGAGTGTTTTCCTGTTATACCTGTCTCTGAATTTGCCTACTGCTTTGTACTTACATTCAGTTGAACTCTATAACTTTCTGATTTAATAAGGATTTAAACTACCTAATTATTTAGTGCTAAGACCATAGTTGAGTTTTATAAGACACTTCAAAAAATTGTACATAGGGACATACACACAGGTGTAAACTAAAAGGGAGTTTAGATTGCTCATTGCTCTTCCAAGGTGAAATCACCATTTTATCTGATGACTTACAAATGAAAAATTTGACCAAGAAATCTATTTAGTCAGATTTCTCAATGTCGTGAATGATCCTCCTGGTAACCAGATATTATGTCTGTCATGACATGACCACTTATTTCATGTTGACTTGTTGTTCTGTATGGAACTTCCTGTGGCACTAGAGTTTTCTTAAGTATAAACCATTCCAAAATCACACTGTTATTATGGGTTGCTTTGTACTCAGACTCTCTAGTATTCCTTTTGGGCTATTGGTCTTTCAATGTGCAGTTAGGGGATTAAAGTAAATCATTTAATCCATGCAGCATGTCACTCAATAGTATACTTTTGGAAATTGTTTCCACAGGAGCACCAGCGAAAGCAGCCAGTCTGAGATATTGACACTATAGAAAAAACTGACAGCTTACTCCTTGTATTGATTCTACTCTTCTCTACAAATATAGACTCCGTTCCCTACCACAGCCTTGTAAGTGGTGCCTGCTGAGGCTGCTAAATTGCTTTGTAAATTATTTATTACTTGGACACCTTGTAAAGATCTCTTTCCTTCTTGTCTGACTTGCTTGTGCTTTCATACATACTAAAGGTCTCAAAGTGTACACTGACCACAGCCTTCTTAGGAAATCCTTTCCTTCCCATCGTTTATTGCGAATAATGGTTTTCCTTGCCCGTATTATGATTATGCCTTTTGTCATTGGTTTTTATTTCTGATCTATTGCTTACAAAATATCATAAAAGTTTATATGCACATGTTTGGAGGCTGGCACTGGGCAATTAATTAGCACATTCTCAAATTAGAAAGTTTGAAGTACTTAAAGAACATTTATTTAATGATGGAAAAGAATTTCTGTTAATAAAAACTGTTTATCAGAGCAAACGCACATCTTTAATTTATTCACACTTATGTAGTAGAGTCAATGTTCTGAAAAAAGATGGTAAGTATTTTCTCTCTTCCCTTGATTATTTCTTCTTAGGTTTTATTTTATGATTTTCTGAAGAATTTTAAAAATGTTCATAATGTAGATAATAAAAACAATATTTTTTATCCAGTAAAAAAACAATTTGAGCAGATTGTGATTGTTCACTGTCAGCCAACTGAAACCATATACTCACATATAAAATACTCAATAGAAAATGTCTGTGCTTAATAATTTGCATTTTCCTCTCTCCCTCTCTTAGCTTCCTATATTAGTCGGCTCAGCACTAGTATAAATTTGATGATTTAGGTCCAGAGTTATTTCAGTGCCTCTTAAAGTTTGGAAATCCAAGAAGCTACTCCTCTCATCCATCCCTCAAAATTCATTAGCTTGTGTTTGGAAAGTACAGGGTTTTCAATCTCGTCTCTGCCATTTATGAGTTCTGTGACTTTAAGCAAGTAAATTAGCCCTCATAAACATCAACTTCTACTATGAAGTAGTAATAATAATAGTAATTATATCTATCCTAAGGATTATTGGAAGAATAAATGTGATATATTTGGACTGTTAGAAGAGGCATCTATTAGGTATCAATGATGTTTACAACATGTTGCTGATACAAAATTTTTTTACTTAAGGATTTAAATTTATGATAATTATATTTTATACAATACCAATAAATACATGTTGAGAATAAAAAATGTAGTTAGTAATTATACACTAAAATCATAGTATCTTGTAGGCAACTTTTTTAAGTCATAGAAATTTGAGAAGCACAAAAACGCACTTCTAAAATCACTGTAATTCTTTTTCTTTTCTTACCTTTTTTCTTTTTCTTTTCTTTTCTTTTTTTTTTTTTTTTTAAAGACAGGGTCTGGCTCTGTTGCCCAGGCTGGAGTGCAGTGGTGCGATCTCTGCTTACTGCAACCTCTGCCCCCCGGGGTTCAAGCAATTCTCATGCCTCAGCCTCCCAAGTAGCTAGTATTACAGGCATATGCCACCACAGCCAGCTAATTTTTGTGTTTTTAGTAAAGAAGGAGTTTCTTCTCCATGTTGGCCAGGCTTGTCTCAAATATCTGACCTCAGGTGATCCACCCATCTCGGCCTCCCAAAGTGCTGAGATTACAGGCGTGAGCCACCGCATCCGGCCAGATGACTGTAATTCTCATTGAAATGGGAACTGCAAGTGGCTTAGAGGACTAAGGATTAGACCATGAAGATTTATAAACAGAAGAGTCCAGCTATTTCTAGACAGGCCACTGTGGTTAAGAGATGGGCACACAAAGAACAATGCTTGACCCAAGCAAGTGATTTTAGACAGTGAGGTCCTTAGCCAGAAGCTTGAAGTCTATTTCAATAATATCCTCTCCAGGCCAGGTTTACTCCAGAGCTGTGCTGGTTTTCTTGTACACTGCTTTGTGTCAGCACATATTGCTATGACTTTATTTCACTCTTCCCTTGCATACTGAAGGTAATCGCCTTTAAGATGAGTTTTCTACACCTGTTTTCATACTCAATTCCTGGCTTGAAATGCTTCTTAACATTATTCCAATGTTTCAAGGCCCAGTTCAAATGCCACGTCCCCACACTGATCTAGTCACTCTTACTACTACCTGCTTGTTTCCTCCTCTTCTAAATTCTTTCAGTATTGATAGTATGAATTACCCTAAGTAGTGTCTGAGATCAGATAGAGTGTTATCTGGTTTAATAATTGTTTAATGTAAAACTATCTATTTAGCTAGAAACCTGTAGGAGCGGGAGGAATCTTAATGTAAGATTAAAGGAGAAACCAAAGCCTGGTTAAAGCAGAGTATTTTCAGATAAAATTCACGGTCTAGCGCCAGATGGGAGCATTATCCTGACCCCCGTATGTTTGCACATTTCACATATGTGTCCCATTCTCACCCATAATGATGGCCTTCACCACAACTTCTTTGTAGATTACATAACACTTGCACATAATTTATCTCATTTATTCTTGAAAGCAATTTTGTGAGATGGGTCTCTTTATCCTCATTTTGCAGAGAAGAACCAAAGCCTAGAAGGGATTACAATGATTGGTCCTGAGTCACACTGAAGTCTATTACTTTTATTTTCTATCCATCCCAGCTGACCTTACACAGTGGCTCATCCCACCCTCACAGAAACCACTCTAGGAAGGCCAGAAAGATATTTCTGACTTTGATTTATAAGCAAGGAGGCTGATTTCTCTTGAGAAAAAGTGAAAGAAGAACTTCTCATCCAAGCAGTCTCTGTCTTTTCCCTTTTTGGAGCAGGGAGAGTGCAATTCTCTAAACAATAATATTGGTTTGACACAAAAAACAAGTGGAAGTCTGCACACCACTTTGTGCAAGAAATGCATGAGGGAACAGAGTCGGAATATGACTGAAATATATATATATATGCATATATGCATACACACACACATAAATACATATGCAGTCATATACATATGAATCATAAAATACTTAAATATGTGTGAAAATAGGTATTGACAACATGTATATCTATTTTATTTTATATACATTTAGTAAAATTTGGGAAGAAGGGAAAATCTCATCATTGGACCAAATTTGTGGCAAACAATTTCAGAAAAGAAAGCAAGGTATATATCTGGAGGGAAAGGAACTATTAGACTGAACTATACTGAGTAGACTGAGTTTCATGTCCTGGGAAGAAATGAAGGCTGGTTGGACACGGGCTTCCCCATCCTGAAGAGTGCTTAGAAAAAGGCGTGCTTTCTTTCTCACAAAATGAATAATTGAGGCAAAAGCTCTAAAGGCATATATAGCAAAATAGCTTTGCCAAATGTTTATACCATGGATATTCCCAACAAAAGTGTAAGAGATGGTCCATTTGACTACAATCTTATAAATTCTTGGTATTGTAATTGAAAATAATAAAATGCTAGTTGGAAAAGTTAAAAAATTATTGTTTATAATGTTAAGTTCAGAATGAAAATTTTCTATATATTTGTTTACTAATTGCATTTCTTTTTCAAAAAAGTATACTTTAAATATATTTAAATTTTCTGTTTTATCTATTTTAACATCAGTGTTTTAAAATCAGTTATGTAAGCTTTATAGTGTTTTTTACCTGTTTCAACAATGTTTGGTAAGCCTATATCATTCCCACTGATGATTATATACAAGAATTAGAAAACTTCTTTGCTGAATCTGTTAATTTTATTAAGCCTGATTATGTTTTTATTGTTATTCTTTTTCAAAAAAAAAGTTTAAAAATTTGTCCCAAACAATTGGGGTACATTTTCTTTAATTTTCTCTGTTGTTACATTTTCCACTGCAAGCAAATTTGCAGACATATACATTAATGCCAAGTAATAGAATCTAGTTTCCATATATTAATATTTTTCCAGTGTCATATCTCTGAGCAGCATTGTATTGCTATTTTAAATAGTAATAGTATATATTAGGAAAACTGAATGATTTCAAACTTAGAGTTCATTCACAAAATTTACTAAGTTTATACTTTGCTGAAACAATTGTAGAGAAATCAGAGTTGTCTAAAACATCAAACCTTTCTGCAAAGAGAAGACAGTTAATGAGATTATAAATATGTATTCAATACGTTAACAAGCAGCATGAAATAAATGACAATAAAATTAGACAAAGTGTTGTTTTTACAGAGAGTAAGGAAAACAGCCTCCACTCTCCCATACAACACACACAAACACACACACACACACACACACACACACAGGTTGACAATACACAAGGAGACTAAGAAAAAAATCATGTGATAGACATGTGAAAATTTAAGTCATTTTTATTGCCTGAAATAATGAGATGAACATTAATAAGGTCTTTTATTACAGTTGCATAAATTGGGCTTTAATTTGTGACCATTGAGAATACTGCTCCAGACTAAGGATTAAATTTGTTTTTATTGAATGTAATAAATAAAGATTACACATTAAAATATTATGAATCACTTGCATTTAGAAACAATCTTATCAAAGACCAGTATTGTGGTTTATTAGTTCTTGAAATTATTGCCTAGATTACTGCCTTGAACATAATAAGTGGTGATTATTTTTTTTGAATGAATGAATGGTAGCGAAATGTAATATTTGAAAGGATTGAATTTTAGGTAATACCAGTAATAGCGTATGTAGAAATAAACATGCACTAAAATGCAGAATTATAGAAGAATATATTTATTTAACAATAAACATCTCTACTTTATAAAGGTAACAAAAACAGTGTTTATTTAAATTGATTTTGAATTACGATCCGCTATCTATACGCAAGGTGATGTTTTTGGTGTTAAGGAAACTATAGCTTCATAGTTTGGTCTCCATCAATTAGTAAGTGATGCCAGTAGAACACTGGTATATCTCAACAAATAACAAAACATTGAAGACAGAATAAGATGAATATGATAGAGAAAAAATGGCAGAGATTTTGGAACAAAATGACTTTTGCTTATTCTATTTATGCGTTTGCAACTGATTCACAGATTATGTTTCTAAAACTTATAGTATCCTCCTACTCTTCTCATTGTGTCATCTTTGAAATCACCAACAATGGTA